GTATGGTTAGAATTTAGTTAAGAGAAAGAAGTATAAGGAAAAGTTCCAGGCAGAAGCGCAAAGGCACTGAAAGAACAGTCAAATGTAGTGGAATTATGGAATACTTAGGTAATTATTCAGACAATTTTGACAAAAATAAACTCACAACATTTAAATTTAAAAAAAAATTTGTAGTTGTAGATGGACAGAATGCCTTTGTTTATTTTTATGTGATGCTAAGGATCAAACCCAGTGCTTCACACATTTTAGGCAAGCACTCTACCACAGAACCATAGCCCCAGCACCACAACATTTAAATTTAACCCACAAAACTTGCAATTTCTAAGCCTCATCTTCTATTTATGACTCACTTATAGCTTGGATTATTTTTTAATTGATTAATTTTTGTTAAGAATACACTGAGATCCTAGCCCATGTTCTATTATCTTCTACTATATCCAATGCTTAAATAATAAAACAGATAAATATCCATCCAGGAGCAGTAGTTTGGAACACTACAAAAAACTCTGAAAAATCTTTGATATTAAAGACATATTGTTTGTTAGGGGTTTTTGTTAATCAAGAACTGAGGGTTGGGGATGTGGCTCAAGTGGTAGCGTGCTTGCTCGGCATGCGTGCGGTCCAGGTTCGATCCTCAGTACCACATACAAACAAAGATGTTGTGTCCACCAAAAACTAAAAAACAAATATTAGAATTCTCTCTCTCTCTTAAAAAAAAAAAAAAGTTTTTTAAAAAAACTGAACCAGAGGCATTTAACTGCTGACCCATATCCCAAGCCCTAGTTTTTCATTTTGAGACAGGATCTCTCTAAGTTGCTTAAGGCCTCCCTAAGGTGCTCAGGCTAGTTTTGAACTTGGGCTCCTGCCTCACAAGCTGCTGGGATTACAGGTATGTACCACCACATCTAGCTACAAATTCATAATTTTTTACAGCTCCCTGGAATATTTTCCACTTAAAAATAAGTAACAAATTTCTCTATCCCAATCTTTCAGAAAAATTAGTGCTTTGAATTAATTATCTTTTATATTCACAATTTTAAGACTCCTTTTATATTGACAAAACACATCAAAAGATTGGTTAAGTTTTTTAGTCACTGATAATTTTCAGATGCAATATCCTAAATAGACTATATACTAATATACTAAATACTATACTATATAATATACTATATACTAATATACTAAAGTACAGCATGTTTTATAAAAGAATCATGGTACAAGTACATAACAAGATATGTTTTAAATACATTATAGATGCTAACTAGGAGCTTTTCTTTCTCACAGCATATCGAAGTAATAAATAATCTGAAGATTTTGCCCTGTTCCAGATACCTGCAATTTAAAAATCACTTATATCAACAATGTGTATTTGTTATTTTCTTAAATCCTGAACCTACTAATTGCCTCAGTCAGCACAACAACCTCATACAGCAGCATATTTAAAAATTTTATACATACTTCTGTATTCCTAGTCTTCTAAAAATGTGTATAAGTACTGATTTGCCATGTTTTACTGGTTTCTATAGGTTATATGTAAATTATTATAGAACTTTACCCCCATTTATATAAATAGTTGGTTCAGAAAAAAGTTTATGTAGCTATGCAGTTTAAAAATAATTTTTTGAAACTTATACAGCTTACTTTAGAAGACCTCCTAAACAGACCTCAGAGGGGCCTGGTATTCCAATATGCCACAAAACATGTTTCTTATATTTTAAAAGTAACCAACTACCTCCAATTGCTGAAATTTTATAATTGGTTAAAGTAACAATGTATTGTCTCTACTGTTGTAGTCATGTGTTGCTGATTATTCAGAGAAAGGAAGTATCAAAATTCATTTTTAAATAGCTACAAGATGTAATGGTTCAAACATACAGGGTTTGAGGGTACATAAAGAGATATTATAACAAACATTAAATGTCTTAATCTTTTTTTATATGTGTTCTTTTGATTTAGAAGGAATGAATTTCAATGAGGGAGAAAAATTCAAGGTTATAGACATTTGTACACAGTTCTCTGGAGTAACAATTTTGACTTAGAAATCAACTTATTTTCCAAACTCTCTAAAGAATAGATCCTGCAACATTTTGTTTGCTTTGGTAAATAAGTATTAAATAAGGCAAATTCTCTCGTTAGCACATGAAAAACACAATGAAAAACACTGGAAATTAAAAATGCAATGAACCCCTTTGATAATATTCAGCTTTAATAGTTCTTTTACATACAATGATTCAAAATTCTTAAGATAATTATTGTTTAATCATGATGTCTGCATGGAAAGAATTTTCCATGTTATACTGGATCTGTGATACATGTTTACTTAAATAGTATATTAGGAGGAAAAGGAGGGAACAAATATGTCAAAAGTCAGGAGTAAAATACATTGGTACAATACCAAAATGAAGACACTTGCCTGAAAAAAAAAAAGCTTGATTATAATATATAATTGATACACACATATCGTGGCTCATTCAAAAGCATTTTTAAATCCATAGTAATTTTTAAAAGAATAAACTATTTGAATGGTTAAGTCCTTTGACAAGAAAAAAAAAGCTTACATTATAAACTTGCAGATTATTTTCTAATTAAAAGAGTAAATATGTGAGTATATTCATGATCGGTCTCTATTTAAAATTACTAAAGGAATGCTGAAATTGAATCTAGAAAACATCAGTTTAAAAATAAGTTCCTCAGGAAAACAAAAAATCTTAGTATGCCATCAAGATAGCAGTCAAAGGAAGACAATTTCAAAACATTGTTATATTCCTTTTTTATTCTATTTCTTCACAAGCCAGACCATAGTGTAGAATGTCAGTTTCAACCCACTTATACTTTGGTGATCACTTGGCCTGCCAGTGTGAATTAAATTCCATAATATAAGCTAGGTGTGGTGGTGGTTCCATCTACTCATAGGCTGAGGCATGAAGGTCACTTGAGCCCAGGGGTTTGAGGCCACACTAGGTAACATAGCAAAACCTGGTCTCAAAAAAAGAAAGGATGGATGGATGGATAGATAAATCCCATAACATACTCTATTATTGTACTCTTACAGAAAGAGGTAACTTGCACTACTATACTAAAAGATGGTACTATATAACTTGAGTGTTATATAGTTCTGTATTAAATTTCTAAAATAACATCAATTATTTTCCCATTTAAAAAAAATAAAAGTTTTGATATGCCTGTATACATATTGTCCAGAAATTAAAACTTTATAAATAGTGTCCATTTACAAAGGACACTGAGTAGGACTGAGAGGAAAAAAAAACAACTTCAAAAGTAACCAGCTGCATTTTAAAAATGTACAATATCCTAACAGACTTGCTTGTATATATGAAATACTATGTTTGAAGTATTGTTCTGGGTACTTTGAGGAGTCTGAGGGCATGTTGGTGCATACACGTGCATACACACACACACACACACACACACACACATACACACAGAATAAAGAAAATTAATCTACATGAAACAACTACTGAACAAAAGATTATCAGTTTTGACATGTCAAAATTTTTAGAAATGGAGATTTATGGTTTCCCAGAGTTAGGGATGTCAGGAAGTGAGTGTGGTTATAAATGGACAACACAGGAATCCTTGTAATAATGAAAAGTATTCTATATCTTGACTATGGTGGTGGTTCACACACATGGAATAAAATTGTATAGAATGAAACATACACAAATACTTTAAATACAACTGGGGAAACTTGAATAACTTCAATGAATTTTTATGAGTGTCAACATCCTGGTTGTGATATATATCACTACAGTTTTGTAAAATGTTTACATTGGGGGAAATTAAAAGAAGGGTACCAGGGAATCTAATCTGTATGTATAATTCCATACAACTGAATGTGAATCTATAATTATCTCAAACTAAAATGTTTTTTAAATGTTAAAAATACACTTTCTCTATTCTAAATACACCTTCCCCAAAAAGACCCAAGGAATAAATATCAAAATCCCAGTGACAACAAGAAATTACCACATAGATGTAATAGTAATTCCCCTCAAAAAAAAAAAAAAAACAGAGCAAACATTATTTTCTTGCTTTGTCAATATGTTCTCAATTTATTTTTAATAATGTATTAATTTAAATTAGTTTAAAGAGTCACATCCTATAAATTCAAGATTTCTGATGACATAGAAATGATAAATTGTTACCTTAAAGTTCAAATGGTGGTGAAATCATCTTTAATCCAAAACAATGTAAAGACAGAGGAGAGCCACCTTTATCTCCTCTATCCACGTATGTTGATAGATAAGAAGCAAATCCTCCCCCACTCCTACCCCCACCCCCATCCTTAACTTCTGACTGCGGGGTGGAATGAGAGCACCTTAAGGATTCTCAAAGTCTGATCTTCTCTAAGATTCAAACATATCATTTTTCTTTCACTAATGCAAGACAAAAATACTGCGTAAGCCAGTTTGGAATTTCTTTACTGTGAGTAAATCAAAGGTGGTCAAGTCAGGGTGACATGCAATGGCACCCAGATAAAACGGATCTATCTGATTAGGGTAGATTCTCATCCACGTAAAATAAGTTCCAGGCATTTCGTAAGGTCTCCATGCAATCTAACAACTGGCCTGATTGCATTGAAAATGGAAATCAGGAAATCAGCCCTCCTCACACCATTTTAGCAGCTTCGCTCTCTCGAACTCACCCTGCAAAGACCAGCTAAGGAGAATGAATTCTTCCACAGTCTTTGTAGTGGATTGGAGGAAATTAGGAACGTGGTCCTCCCGTCCCCATCTCACCCCTCCCCTAAAACCTCAGCTGATAAGGGAGCGAGATGCCCCGAAGCTGGGGGAAAGGAGGGACCCAGACCCGGACCAGGCAAGGCCAGGGCACTGGGCTGTGAAGGGTGAGGCAGAGCCAAGGGCGCGCGGGGATGAGCGACCGCAGATCTGTGCTGGGAGAGGCCGGGGGCGTCGGGTACTGCCGGGCCGAGGGTCCAGCGCGAGGGGTGACCCGCGAAGGGCAAGGGCCAAGCTCACCCGCGTTTTGCAGAGTCTCGATGTTTTGGGGTCTAGTCGCCAGCTCCGCCACCATCTGCACGAACTGGGTCCGGGCTTTCTGGTACTGCTCGAACACTGGGGGAGAGAGACTCGTTGGAGCGGCCCGCGTCGCTAGAGCTCGCGCCGCCAGCCCGTCGGGGCGGCCCGCCCGCCCCGGCCCTACCTTGCAGCACCTGCCTCTGACTC